CCGAGGAAAGTAAGATTCTAATAGAAATGACCTTTGCCTATGTTGAAAGGGTCTCGCCGGTCGGGGCAAGCACAACACTCGTTCCCGCAACCCTTGTTGCAGCTGATAGACTCAAAAGTAAGTGGAGCTACCCATCGTACACTCATATTCTTTGAAATCAAATACTACAATTGTTGCAATATTTTCGGTCTTGATTTTATTTTTTCGACGCAAATTTATTGTCTACAATAACTATCTTAACTTTTGATTTTATACTATTACTTGCTCCATCTAATGTCTAAACACTATTATTAACTCTAGTACTTAATTTTATAAAAATATTATCTAATTTACTAGTATTATTATTAGTCTTCAATATTTTCTAAAAATATTTTCACACGCTAAACAACAAAAATATATTTCGTGAGGAGAGAGATGTTTTACGTAATAAAAATAAGTTTTGCCTAATCAAACATATGAAAATTTTCAAGAGGAACGAAGGTGCTTATCTAATGAATTGTTTAGGACTGCAGGTGCAAATGCCTTTTTGTTTTTTCACCCCCTTAATTTTTCTCATTTACTGGCAATGAAAATTATCAACAAAAAAAAAAAGGGTGATCTTTGAACATCAAAACCCTATCAAAAACCCTGAACTTTCTTCAACCTCAACTTCCATGGTTTTCTAAAGAAACCTAAATCTCACAGTCCATTTTAATACTGTAAAAATGTCCGCTTCTAGATTGTTCTTTCTTCTCGGAGCCTCTATTGTCCGAAACCAGAATAAGCCTACAAACACCTTTACTCCATTCTCTCCAATTCGCTTCACAAAGCCATTGCTTTCCCCTGTTGTACGGTTCCGCAGGTACAATTGTACCTCAGCTACACTTGAGACCAATACAATCGAACCAGTGGTTAATACCAGAAATCATCCGTGGCCAGAATGGGTAGCTTTCGTGGACCGTTTGAAAAGCAAAGGATACTTCCCTGAAAGTAAGAGTGAAGATGGTGATGGGAGTTTATACACGGATATGACTCTGTTAAAAGATGCTTGTCTTAACTTCTCTCGCGACCGTTCAGACATTTTTAAGTAAGAAAGTTCTGTTTTTACACTTTACCAGCTGAGTGCGCATTGCTTGTCAATGAAATTTAAGTAAAACGGGAAAGAAAGAGCTGGTGTTACAGTCTTAAAACGGTTGCGTTTGCAAATTAAGATACTCATTGGCTCAAAGATTGAAACTTTCCTCAAGGATAAAATGATAGTTTTTTTTATAAGTTAAATTGATAATCTACTTAATGTCTGCTATACTTTAGATTTGTGGCCGTTGGAATAATAATGGGAATCCTTTGTATGCATCCTTGGTTTCAATTTTCAAATTTAGAAGAGGCTAAAACTATTAATAATAAAGTAAAGTAAATGAAATTAACACATTTGACTTGGAAACTGTCTGTATTGGTTGTCAGAAACTTTCTAAATGTTTGTGTCTCGAGGAAAGACAGAGACTACAATATCTGACTGAGATTATGTATTGCAATTCCCACCTCAACTGAAATTTGAAAGCATATGTGTATTACTTTGCAGAAAGTTGTCCAACCAAGATATGCAGACAGTTGTGGAAAAGGGCTGCCCAAATCTATTCAGGAAGGTCGTTAACTCGGGGAAAAGGCTAAGGCTGCATCTAAACCTTGATGAAGGAGAGGTGAGTTGCCTTTTAAATTTTTAAAATTCATTGTTTCTTAATTTCTCCGGACCCCACTTGTCGGATTAAACTGGGTTTGTTGTTGTTGTTGTAGTATTGTTTCTTAGTTTCTATTCAGGACGAGTTATATTGATTGCGGTTCAAGTGTCATCTTCTTTCAGTGAGCTTGTTCTTTGAGGGTTTATGTAAGGAACTTACTTGCAGGTATGCGGTGCTTGCATTCTCCGTGGATCATGTGATAGGGCTTACTTGATATTGAAGGATGATGAGGGTGTTGCACGTACAGTAGATATTGTGCGAGTCTTGCTTATCTATGCCTTAGATCCTGCAGTTATCTCAAGCGGAGCAATGTCTCCTGGTAGAGAGCTTATTGAAGTATCTTCAAGAAAATTGCTCTCAGAGTTGGTTGAATTAAGTGAGACGCCTTTTGATCCTGAGCATCCAAGACCTGCTCCCAAGGACTCTCCACAAAAAAAACAGTCTCTTCGTTCAAGAAAGGATGGTCAGGAAGATGTTCAAATGAAAAGAAGAGATTCAATTGGTCTTGAGTAAGTCTTCTTGGAGGTTATTATGATTTTTTCCTTAAAAGGAAAATACTGTAGTTCTTGCAGAGTAAAATGGAATACTGTAACTTATGTGCCTTGATATCAGTACCGTACAAGTTCCATTGATATAACATAACTTGTACGTCCTTTATCCTGGACTAGAAAAGTCTAAGCAGGAAAACATTAATTCTATTTAAACTTGATTAACCATTCACGCACTGTTGAAATTTTGCACTAATATGTATTAAGAGACTAACTATTAACTTATGGTGGTTAGCTTTTTATATGATAATTATACGCAAAGGAAAAACCTAACCCTCCAGTAGAACTTCTTAATGCTTTTCCCATTAACTTTTCCTCAATCCATAAGCTCCAATCTTATCAAGTTTTTTAGAAAATGTATCGGCCATTATATTCTACCATATCTATATCAAACTTCGGATGTTCGTGGTTTAACTGTTAACTAATAAACTCTAAGCTAACTTAGGATAAGGGATAGTAAGTTGAGAAAGTTAGGACCACACTGGTGTGAAGTGTGGACATGATGATTATTGTTACTATTGTGGGGGTCAAATGGTTTTGTGGCCCATTACAAACTTGTTTTTAGTTTTATGATACATGGGAGATTTGCGTTTACACATAAGAGATCTAAAAAAGATATTTTCTTACTTTCAACATTGTAAAAAGCCATGGAGGCCTAAAACCTCCTATTTTATTGTGGTCAGTGGCTGCTCATACTAATTTATTCAAGCGAATAATTGTACTTCTTGTAAGAGGTTATTTATAGATTTCACCTTTCCTATTTTAAGATTTTTCTTGTTGCTTATAAGTTGAAATGCATTGGGATGAGATAATCATTTTTCAATAGTATTAGATTCTAAAATAAAAAATTTGATGCTCACTGGAATGTACCATGCTTCTCTGTAGGGGAGATAAAAAACATTCTAATGTCGATATGAAGCAAGGAGATTGGATCTGTTCGCAGTAAGTTCTCAGTTACTTTGCCATGTGTGTTGTGTTTTACCTGTATGTTTGATATGCACTCAATAATTCTGTCAAGTATTGTTGGAGGACTTCACAATGAAGCTTTCCATCCAATGAGTGGTCTAGACTCTGATTGGATTGTCAGAGTGCCTAGTTTCTTTTTCCTTCTTTTATTAGATTTGGTAACCTTTTCAAAAACGGCACAACAAAAACCTCTATCACTGCCATTCCCTGGGGTAACAGTGGTTCTTCCTCCCCCCCCCCCCCCTGGGGGGCCCCCAACTGGAGCAATCTTCCCTCGTCCTCTTTTTTCTTCCTTATGATGTCACTTCCTAGTGCTCACATTCTGGGCTTGTCCTAACATTGACTTGCTGCAGATGCGACTTTATGAACTTCTCCCGCAATGCACAATGCCTGCGATGCAAAGCAGAAGGACCTAGTCAAGATGCTCGTGTGTCAAAAGTTCAAGAAATGAAAACTGGAGATTGGACTTGCCCACAGTATGATACGTCAAATAATTTACCAGCTACTAAATATCCCATAGTTTTCCTTTTCTTCTTAATGAAAACTAAATATCGTACAGTTTATCAAAAAAGAATATACTGCTGTTATGAAGCAGATCTATTCTTAAAACCTCACTTGGCAAATTATATTGTTTCATAGTTTATGACTCAACTTTGGATATCATTGGCCTACTATAAATATTACCGACTTACTCTCTTTATAAACTGATATCAGTTCGCTATAAACATGCGAGTGTACCTACTGCTATATCACATTGTTCGCTTTTGATGAGAAAATACTCGTCCTTTTTATTAATCTACGAACAATATAAGGATGTTGTTGAACTGATCTCGTTATTGTAGTCTTTATGGCTCCTTCGAACTCGTTTTCCCTTTTCCTTTTCACTGGTGTGGGTTTTCAATTTTTTTCATTCTTCTTTTCTCTCTTTCTGGGGTCTTTGTAGATGTGCCTTCATGAATTTTGCTAGCAATACCAAATGCTTACGCTGCCCAGAGCTGCGCCCAAAGAGACTGCTGAATCCGGGAGAGTGGGAATGCCCCTCGTGAGTAACTTTTCTTTGATGCTGCATGGGTTTGTTTTATGGATTCTACTCATCATACTTTTGGATTCTTGTACAGATGTGACTTTTTGAACTACAGAAGAAACATGGTCTGCAAGAAGTGCGATTGTGAGCGTCCCAGGGATGCAAAGAAGCAGTCAAAATACGAGCAGCAACTTTGGAGGAAGCCTTACTAACGTAGCTTAAGATCAGCTCATACAATTGATCAAGGATATCATTACAACAATATGGTTGACTTAGTTTTTTGGTGCTTCGGGCGAGTGGATATGAAAACGGGAATAACATATATATATGCTTGCATTTTTCCCTCTCTATGTTACTTCAGCAACTACGAGATCTTAGTGAATTCTTTTGTTATTTTGTCCTGTAATAACTTGTAATTATAACATTATGTAGTATCTTAACAGTGTTCACTTTTGTCTTCGCTTGATGATTAATAGAAGAGAAATGCGTGGGGTTACCTTATAAACTTTTTTGTTAAAAGAAAATGAGAATTCCTTAGACGAAAAATTCAAGTGAAAATAATAAAAACAGAATCATATAAGTACTTTCTGTGCTATTCAAAACTTCTTAATTTAAACTTGGTACATGAAACAGGAGTTGGTAACTTTATTTAGGAAATTTAACTGCTAGTGTAAAACGCACAATTTCTCACCTAATTGGTTAATTAGATAGTAAGCAATAGATCAAGTAGTAGTTAAGTGGGAGAGAAACGGAGAAGTCAATTTTTTTATTGCACTTAATGTTAGAACCTCTATCAAATAAGCTGCGAAGACTTGTATTGAAATATATACTACAAATGAACAAAAGCAAAATCAAGTCGTGACAATCTTCCACTATATCCTATTAGTCATGTGTGTGTAACAAATATATAACATTGCCAAAAACAAAGGGCAGCTCTCTATGACCAAAGCGAGAAAAAAATTCTACACATCTTTCTGCCAAATAATCTAACTCTTCCATGTGGAGAAAAAACCCGAGAATGGAGTCTATCTGGAAACAGCTTAATTGGCTACAGGCACACCTTGCTCACCAAGTTGATGAGGGAAAGCAACCTCTCCAGCAGCAGCGACATGCCTGCGCTGCCGCTCACGAAGGTAAAGCACTGTTAGAAGGCATACAAATAGGGTAAGAATTGTTGCATTTCCTTCCTCCATTATGACATCCTCCACCCATGCTTCCACTTTGGGATAAAATTCTGGTAACGAATCAATTATGTGAACCTACATGGAAAGAAAACGCCAATAAGGAGGCCATATCAATATAACCAACTTGTTTCAAGTGAAAAAGATATGATATTGCTTTTTTTTTTTTAATTAAAATTAATATGTAAAACTCAGAAACTGATATTGCTATATATTTTTCTACTATTTCTTTCTCTCAAACTTTGACATCAGTTACTACAGCCTCTCCACTGTGCAAAGTAGGCAACCGATAAAATTTTAGGAAGAGAAAGGTGGAATAGAATGTCAAGCACAAGTACCACTGAATTTCTACATCAGTTAAATCTGTTTATTGCTACATGTAATCAAGGAAATAAGATGATCAGCATTCCTCCTTGGTCCAAGCAAAGATTTCCCTGCAAGCTGAGCAGCCCAACTAAAGAAAGCAACCGCCCCCGCCCTCGCCCCCGGCCCGCACAACAAGACCAAGAGCAAAACCCTTTCCACTCCATCTAACATCATTAAACAGTCTAGAGACATGAGAGAGTTAAAATAAAACTATTCCTTTGACCTTACTGTTATTACATACTACTTTACTAGGAGAGCACAGAAGTCACGCTCGGCTGATGATGGACTATACTCGGCTCATTTAGTTAATTTGATCTCAATTTCTTCAAGGCAACTTTGCACTCTTGGTTTTTATGGGTCTCTTTCTAAATATATTTCCTAAGTCCCTAATCCTAGCAAAAATTACAACTCTGTCCAGCTGCATATCATGTCTCTTTGTAATACCACAACCTTGAGGATATCTCTCCAAATTGCCATCTCTCTGCCCACAATCTCCCACAACTTCCACCATGGCCGGCTCTACTGTTATCACAAGTAAGGCTTGTGCCTTAGGCCCCAAATCTGGGGGGCCCCATTTTTTACAAATAATAGGTTTATGGGTATTTAAAAACTAATAATATTTAGTACCTTTAATACAAAAAGTAAAAAATTTCATATAAAGAAAATAAAACTTTTTAGATAGATAAATAAAGTAACCATTTGACTTACTAAAAATAGGTAGATGAATTGTTTTCTCAACGTTTCAATTTAAGTTGATTTGACAATATAACTTTTTACTCTTTTATTAGATAACGTGTAAAAAATTTACTTTTCTTAATTTGTTCAAGTTAATTTTTCTTTTCCCTAATCTCTTCATATTTCAAAAAACCCTATAAATCTTTTGTCTTTCTCTTTGATATTCTTATTCACCTTCTTTCTCCGATCCAAGATTCCATTATCATCTTCTTTCTCCATGATTTCATTAGTTCAAGTGTTCAATAGTCTTTTAAAAGTTTAGGTCTCACATTAAACTTTGACTTTAGGCCACACATGTGCTTGAGCCGCCCCTGACTTCCACTAAATCATCCAGATTTAACACTGCCTGCTAATTATGATAACCTTGAGGCTTTGACATGGAAACAGTACTCTGAAGCATTTTATGATCCCATGGAAGCCTCGAGTATGTAAAACTAGAGTATTGTACCATGCTTTCACAAAACTAGCACGTTTACTCCTCCAATCGCGTGCTTGTAAACTACAACGAGTAGGCTCCTTCTTACCCTACAGTGTTCAGGATTTGCATTGTGCTTTGTCTTCTTTACACTCAAAATTCTCCTCCTGAATTCTCATTCGTCCATCCATACTCTACACACATGCAGAACCCAATTATGGTGATTATTAGAACCACCATTCCACAGTAAGCAAATGTGGAAAATGGACTGCATTTGACAGTCGAGCAAACTATGGTTCAATAAAACTCTAGGTTTTTCTGTACTAGCAAATCCAATTATCTTCTGCAAATGCCAAAGGCAAAGTCCCCCAGACAATCAGAGAAGCCTCATATCTCTGTACCAAAGTACTGGTGATCCCTTTAGGATATTTCTGGTTAGCGTTCTCTCTTTGTCACAGTTTTGACAAGGGAAACAAGAGATCATCCAACGAATGTATGAGCTCAAAGGGGCTAAATGTACTGAAATACAAAATGAACAAAAAAGTATCTGTGTGCCATGTGTGCATGTATTGTATGCGAGTAAAAGAAATAGAGGAAATATTTACCAAAAAACTATTGGCGTGGTTTTTCCTAATCCACAAGCTTGCAAGGGCCAATGTTACAGGCAATTTTGCAGCATTATCAATTTCTAGTGCCTGGTCGTAGTAGCGTTTGGCAAGATGAAGATCAAAAGGTAGTCCTTGGCCATGCTCATGCATGTAACCAAGATTGAACATAGCTTGAGCATTAGATTGGGATTTGGCGTGCATATATGCCTCAGCTGCACGTTCATAGTCCCGCTCAGTACCCTATTAAGAAACAGACGATTAGTCTTCCAGCACTTCATTCATGTGCAAGTCAAGCCAACGAAAGAGGATAGTATGAAAAAGATAAATTAAGGTTACTGCTACTGAATGTAAACTAACATACCCGACCAGAGTAACATGCGAAGAGCTTAGAATAAGGTAAACAACTTCAGGCTACTGCTAATAAATGTAAACTAACATACCCGACCATAGTAATATGCGTCTCCAATAAGCAATGCAGCATGTTCATTACCCTGCTCAGAAGCTTGCCACCACAAGGCATGCGCGCGTTGATGCCTCTCTTCATCACTGCAAACCCCAGATTCTCCCAAACACATGCTTCGTTCTCCATATTTGTCAAGGATCCATGCAGCATTACTTTGCGCAATCTCATAGCCTAACTCTGCCATTCGCGAATACAAAAGGAAAGCCTTGCCCACATCTCCTCTCAAATATGACTCTAGTGCCCATCTAGACAAAGAACTCCATGGTCCACGTTCCGCAACTAGTTTGTACAAGGCAGTTGCCTGAAAAAATGGAGGGCAGGTTTAAAGGGGGAAGGACCACAAAATGGCAAACAGAAAAAGAAAATACATCCTTTAAGGGTATTTATATGCTATTTAAGAAGACAATAGCACTTCTTAGAGTTTGACACTGTAAACATAAAAGTTTCAGCAACTATAATATCATGCTTCTCTCTTTTTTCTCAGATTAAGGAGAGTAGCTCTGAAAGCTAAGCGCCGCGGCGCCTCTATAGAATCCATCTGCGACTCTACACAGCGCCAACTCCTCTTTACCCAAAAACACGTAGAAAGATATGACGGAATATTATCACTACACCACCTAGTAGAGAACAATTACTCAGCCCATTCCATTTCATATAATGGTTTCGGTTAGACAGAGAGCTTAAGACGTTACCTTAATTTATTTATTTTTGATAAGTAAAAAAATTATGTTACCTAAGATGTTGCTTTAATTGTTTGTTATATTTGTAGTAGTAGAAGAATATATCAAGTAATAAATAGTTAGTTTTATACAGTGTTTAAAAAAGTGCCCGCTTCCTCGCTTTAAGCGAGAAGCGATGCGAAGTGAGAAGGTGCACGCTTCATATGGGTGAAGCGACTCAGGTATAAAAAAGCGACCGCTTCCCACTAAAAAGCGAGAAGCGATCATGCGATGCGAAGGAAGCGACCGCTTCTGTGTTTTAAAACAGACCCAGTCCTATTTTATTAAAAACGAAATCAGTTGCGTCTTTCATTAAACGAACAGCAACAGCAGCGACTTGGGTTTTAAAGCAGAGCATCTGACAGCATCGACTAGGGTTCTTCTTCTTCTTCAAGTTCAAGTCTTCAACATCAACAGGTATGTTCTGATTTTTCTTCTTCTTCTTCTTCTTCTTTTTCTTTTTCTTTCACTGTTTAAACGTCCAAATAGCAGCGAAATGCTGGCGAATATTTTTTTTTACCTTCGGTTCTTTCTCAGAATTGATGCCAATCCTTGGGTTCTTCTTTCTCTGCCCAGTTTTTAACCGAGAATTACTGCCCTTCCTCTAATTTTTAAATCCTTTATTCTTAGTTCTTATTTTATTTTAATTTAATTAGCCCAGTATTTATTTCAACTTTTTTTTTTTAAAATTCCACTTCACTTCAAAAAAGCGAGCACTTCGCTTCTCGCTTTAAGCGAAATGTGGGTTGTCGCTTTTCCTCGCTTCACGCTCTTCACATCACTGGTTTTATAGAGAAAGTCTCACATCAATGTTTAGATTCTGAAGAGTTAAATGAATTTCAATTCTTAGAACTTGTCACAGTTGTATACAATAACATTAATAATATATTGGTGTCAAATAATTTGGAATGCCTCAAAATGGAAAGTGACATATAAATTGGATCGGAGAGGATATATTTCCGTTCCACTCTATCAATTATTCAAGACAAAATATTATGATGAACGCCTGGCTACGAGACTCTAGTTAGGAATTAAAAGCCACTTTTTAAATAAGGTCACCAAGAAACAACTAGCCACCAAACCCTTAGCAAACACGTCCTTTTTTGGGGATAAGTGTTTTAACTTGTTTGCTGTTGCAGTTCAGGCAGCGTATAGGAAAGATAAACCAACAACCAAGTTCATTCATGAAAAGTAGAACATAAGATACTGATAGAAGGTCGATAATCCCAGTAAATGTATGAGTAGATGACTAACTGTATTTGACTCACCAGAGGAACATTTTTCTTATAACCCACACCAGTTTGGAACATTTTCGCCAGTTGATAAAATGCTTTTGGTTGACCGGCATCAAAAGCCGCTGAAAGATATTTGGATGCTAATTTCACATCCCTCTTCACCCCAATTCCTTTAAGATACATGACTCCGAGGTTGTAGAATCCACCAGCCTCTCCATTTTCTGCAGCCTTCTCGAAATACTCTTTTGCCTGCAAGAGTGAGCTACCAGTGTGTCAACTGAATCCTAGACATCTTTTTCTATGCAGGCTACACTAAGAATCTAATGAGTGAAACTTAAACATAAAAATCAGTAATCGGTGATCAGATATGAGTGTTAAGCACATGAAAATGAGCAGACCGTTGAACTAACAACAATATAGTGTGAAAGATAAAGGCAATCCCATGGATAGAAAAAAGGAGATCCAAATTACCCTATTATTTATAAGGGGGAACCAACGACCAAAAGTAGGAAAAAATCTCTGTGCATTTAGTTGTCCAAAAATAGCAAAGAAAGAATAGAATTTTACCTTAGTGTTGTTCTTTTCCACTCCGTATCCTTTGACATAGAGATAGCCTAAACCATTGTAAGCAGAAAAAAGTTGTTGCTTGGATGCAAGAGTAAGCCACTCTAATGCCTTGGTAAAGTTTCTTTGAATTCCAGCTCCTCTTGCATATATCTCCCCAAGAAGTTCCATAGATCTCGCCTCACCCTTCTCCACTGCCTTCAGAAACCACGATAATGCCTTGGTGTGATCGCGCCTTACTCCCCTTAAACCAAAGTAGTAGAATATCCCAATTTTGTACATTGCACCAGCGTTCCCTTTTTGCGCCTGGTATTCCAAAATCTGGAAGTCCTCATCTTCCTCCCCTCGTGACTTCCTCAAGGCTTCCTTATTTTCTTCTGCTCCACTGTGTATCCTCACCGGTTCAATCACAGGTGAGTCCTTCGATATCAGGAAACTGTTAATGGCTACCTCTGCCAATTCAGCATACAACTTTACAGCTTTATCGTGCATCTGTGATCAAACAAACAGTCAACATATGTGAGAAATGATAAATCTTTTCTTTTCACAGCAACAGAAATGATACATTTTCTATATTTAGAAAAAATTTAACTTTAAACTTCTCATTTTACAAATGACTTATAGCCAGACTACAAATTTCAAAATTCTCTATTTCTTTCTTAAACTGTATGCCGAGTCAAAGTGCAACGCATAAATTGAGATGGAGGGAGTATGTAAATGCAAAGTTGAGGAATAAAAAACTCACTTCTTGGCGAGAATAAGTGTAAGCAAGTGCCATTTTGGATTGCATATTGCCGCCTTCAGCAGCAAAATGGTGGTATAGAAAAGACTTAGCTTTATTCCTCTCTCTTCCAATTCCCATTCCGTACAAAAACCCTAAAATCGACTGCGCGTGGGGGTGGCCAGCTGATGCAGCCGCTTCGATCTCAGACGCCGCCTCCTCCATCGCCCTTTCATCGCCTCTGCTTGACGCCTTAACTATCTTACTGACCGTTGTATAATAGGAGGCTTCATCTCCAAGGTGATCGTGAGGCGCAATAGCGGGCTCGAAAATCGGGCTCCATGAGCCCGGATCAAGCACGTAATCGGGCTTTGCTTCGGAGTCAATGAAATCGTCGAATCCAGTATCTGACGTGTCATCGCCGAGATTTGTAGTATCAGCGGATGCTTCTGCGAGGTCGTCTTGAGAGAGGACGAGCACTAATTGACGTCCGAGTGTAGAAATTGGGAGAAGTGCGAGAAGTAGGAGAGCAAAGCTTAACCTTCGGATTCTTCGATTTCTCATCTCCTTTATTGAGTTTATTTCTTTATATTTGAGGTCGGAGATGTTCGCCGGCGGTCGTTAGTTGGATTCCGGTGAAGTAGTTGAGGAAGACGGGAACATACAGAGCTCTTATCGTGTGTTTTGTTTGCCACGTCAGCGGTCGTCACGTACACCACTAATAACCTGCCACGTCATTGGGGCCTTGCAAAAGAATAAGAGCAAGAAAGGAGCAAAGAGAGGACGTATAACGTATTGAATTAATCCAAAAAGTTATTAAGTGTAGTATTGATATAAATAGAATTCTATTTTAGAGAGATTTTAGGTTTGTTACTAGGTGGCTAAGTTACTTTTCTCCAATAAATAGAGGGGTTCTATTCCATTGTAATTGATCCCAAATCAATAAGAATTCTCTCTCAGTATTTTTCTCTACAATATTATTATTCTTCTTTTATTGTTCATAACACGTTATCAGCACGAGACTCTATCCAATTGAGTAGAAGCTTTGGGATTGAGCATAATGATTGTCAATTGTTCCATGAACTTACTTCATGATTAAATTCTGAATTTAAGGTAAGTATTTTACTTTATTTTTCTCTTTTAAACTCTTGACATTCTATAATTTGATTTTAAATATAAGCAAAGACAATAAATTGTGATTATAACTCTAATAGAGTTTGTAAGAAATTATAACCACGTGAAGTGGTAAAATTTCTATGTCTTGCCATGATCAAATTCATGTATGATTGTGGGCACAAGAAGTGAAAACCCCTCCCATTGAATTTGCTCCCTTCTCATTCCCTTAAGAGTATGTGATAACAGTATGTGATAAGCCTGAAAGAAGACAAAATTATTACTATGAATATATCAATGGATGTGGACGTGCAATAGACGAAATTATAATCGTCATCATTGTGGTAATGAGAACAATAAGGATTCTCAAAATAATCCTTCATTTTATGAAAGTAATATTTGTAATCGATTTGACATGAGATTTTGTAAAGCACATATAGATGATTATGGTCCATTCATGATATGAATGTGACAACATGTGATTTATGAATACATATTCATTCTTGGAAGAATATGAACGCGCTAGTGGTAGTGAATATACCACACTCACCTAGAGAATGAGGTTTGAGGGGAAATAAGAAAATAATGTCATTATTATGGCATGAATGGTCATTGATCACATACCTATTGTACGCCATATTTTGGCGATGTGATTATTAAAGTGCAACAGTAATGCAAGGAACAGATCTTGTATATAATTTTGACCATGACCATAGCGGTATAACTTTCTCTTTAAAAGAGATATTCACCACATGGATGTTGATGAATATGTGGTAGTACAAAATTAATTGAGAGTTCTGGAAGAGCCAATTATTACTATTTTGGAGGAATACAATTAATTATCATGTCAATTTATTGTGTCGTAGTAAGCCTCAAAGAAACTTAATTGAGTTTCTAAAGTATTCGCGAAAGCGGTTGGCTATATTGAGACTATAAATAAAGAAAAAATTTAATATCTTCTATTACTACAACTTGTAGCGGGGTAATATTTATGTGAAAAATTATCTGCTTTATTCTTCAGTTTGTACTACACAAATAAAAGAATACCACAAGAAAGTGAATGTCTATTGATATAAAACCCATATCATAATAAACTTGGAGTTTATTCATAATTGCACACGTCATGGTGTAAACTAATAGTTTATCAATATTGATAATTTATTCAGTTGGCATAGTTGATTTAGCCGTGTTAATTTAAGTATGATGTGCGGGAAAAAAATATATGAGAATTCACATGGGTAAATATTAAAGAACTAGAAAGTTCTTTACGAATTCTCTTATGATGCTTGTTCTCATTAATTAATATACCAACTAAAATTGGGATTGAATCTCATGAATGCTGCAAATATAAAAGGTGAATATGGGCCCATTCACCTTCCATGTATACCACATAAGATGCATCTATGATATGGTCACATGTGCAATTATTATTGACCCGCAACCTGGTGTTTGCGAGGTAACTTGCTCAATAATTTAATTTAGAGCATAATTTCCAGATTTTTATTCAAGATAGTTCATCTTGATAAGTTGGTATACATCATAGTTGGTTTAACAAAATGATTTATTGAGTGCCTCCACTTAATAGTTAAACTATTTCTTATAAGAACAAAGTTATATATATCAGTTTGATATACGTTATGTACAAAAGTATATTACATTCTCTGCAACGATCCGACCGGTCGTTTTGAGCTCTAGCGCGTCGTTCGGCGGTTTGAGGCCATGAGTAGCTTCACTTCAGGTATTATGACTTGTATGTATGGTCGGAATCAAAATTCGGGAAGTTCGGATTGGATTTGGAAAGAAAATTCTCATTTTAAAAGCTTGAAGTTGGAAGAATTGACTAAGATTGGATTTTGAGTAAACGACCTCGGAATCGGGATTTGAAGGTTCTAGCAGATTCGTATGATGATTTTGGACTTGGGCGTATGTCCAGATCGGGTTTTGGATGACCCGGGAGCGTTTCGCCGCCTATTGTGGAAGTTAGCATTTTTGGGTGAATTTCATAAATTTGGGATGAAGTGCATTTCAGTGTTGACGATGTCCGTTTGGTATTCCAAGTCTAGGAATAGCTCCGTATGGTGATTCTGGTATTGGGAGCGCGATCGTAAGTGGATTTGGAGGTCCATAGGTCATTTTGGAGTCATTTGGCTGAAGTTAGAAATTTGAAGGTTTTTGAGAAGTTTGACCGGAAGTGAACTTTTTGATATTGGGGTTGGATTCCGATTTCGGAAGTTGGAGTAGGTCCGCAATGTCGAATATGACTTGTGTGCAAAATTTGAGGTCAATCGGACGTGATTTGAAATTCTAAAGTTCATTAAGCTTGAATTGGAGTGCGATTCATGGTTTTAGCATTGTTTGACGTGATTTGAGGCTTCGAGCAGGTCCGTGTTATGTTATAGGACTGAGTTGTGTGATTGGAAGGGGTCCCGGGGGCCTCACGTGAGTTTCGGACGTGCGGGAGGAGTTGAAAACACACCAGATTTTCTGGTGTATTTGGCAGCAGTTGCAGGTCTCGCAAATGCGAGAAATTGTTCGCATTTGCGAACCTTGAATTTCCGAGAAAGGCTTCGCATTTGCGATGGAGCCTGACCTGAGGCAGAGTCCGCATTTGCGATGTTTTGGGTCGCATTTGCGACCTCAGCAGAGTCCGCATTTGCGACTTATTTGTCGCATTTGCGGCCTTGGCAGGGGAGGCCCGTGTTCGCATTTACGAACCAGGTGTCGCAATTGCGACATCTGAGGCCTATGCACAGCTATTAATTTCGAGACTTAGACCATTTAGCTCGTTTCCTGTAACGACCCGGCCGGTCATTTCATGAGTTACTGCTCTGTTTCCCCCATTTCTGCTTCATATTGCTTTGTTTATCGGTTCTATGTATGATCGGGTTGGTTGGCTCGGGTTCGGAAAGGTTTTGGTAAGGTTTGAGACACTTAGTCTCTTTTAACAAAGCTTAAGTTGGAAAAGTCAACCGGATGTTGACTTATGTGTTAGAGGGCTCAGATGTGAATTCCGATGGTTCGGATAGCTTCGGGAGGTGATTTGGGACTTAGGAGCGTGATCGGAATGTGTTTTGGAGGTCCGTAGTAGATTTAGGCTTGAATTGGCGAAAGTGGAATTTTGGCGTTTTCCGGTTGATAGGTGAGATTTTGATATAGGGGTCGGAATAGAATTCCGAAAGTTGCAGTAGCTCCGTTGTGTCATTTGGGATGTGTGTGCAAAATTTCAGGTCAATCGGACATGGTTTGGTATACTTTTTTATCAAAAGCGGAAATCGGAAGATTTTAGAACCTTAGGCTTGAATTCGATGTGATTTGGTTGACTTGATGTTGTTTGAAGTGTTTTGAAGATTGGTATAAGTTTGGATGGTGGTATATGATGTGTTTGTACATTTGGTTGAGGTTTCGGGGGCCTCGGGTGATTTCGGATGGTTGACGGGAAGTTTCGGTCTCGTAGAAGCGAAAATGGAGCCGCAGATGCGGCTAGGTTGAAGGCTAGCTGAAACCGCAGAAGCGGTCGAGGAGGCGCACCTGCGATGGCGCAGGTGCGATGTCTTAACCGTAGAAGCGGAAATTGGTCGAGTAAGTGGAAACCGCAGGTGCGGCGCTTGGGACCGCAGAAGCGGTTACGCAGGTGCGATATCTGGACCGCAGGTGCGAAAAGCCTGGTCAGAATGTATATATTTCTTCCTTCGCGATTTTCAGAGGGTTTCACCATTTTTAAACGCGAATTTTGGAGTTTTGGGCGATTTTGAAGAGAGAATTCAAGGAGACTTCATTGAGGTAAGGTTTTGGATTATGAAAACTCATTTCTTTGGTATTAATTCACAGATTAGAGCTGTAATTAAGGGAAATTAAGGGTAAAATTTGAGGAAACTAGGGCTTGGAAACTTAGGCCTAGACTTGAGAATTTGAGGGGCCATTTGTGATCGGATTTTGGAACTTTCGATATGCATGAACTCGTGGGGAGATAAGGAGTCTAATGATGTAAAATTTATCGAATTTCGAGACGTGGGCCCGGGGGTCGGGTTTGGTTAATTTTGGGAATTTCGTTGTTTTTCGATTGTTTTCGAGTGGGCTTTGTCCCTTGAGCATATTGTGATGGTTACGTTCTGATTTTTCTTAGATTCGGAGCATCCGGAGGCCGATTCGAGGGGCAAAGGCATTGCAAGCTAGAGTTTGGGCCGGATTGAGGTGAGTAATGATTTTAAATGTTGTCCTGAGGGTATGAAACCCCGGATTACACAGCGTTAGGCTATATTGAGGTGACGTACACGCTAGACGACGAGCGTGGGGTCGTGCACCGTTGGGAATTGTGACTTGGTCCATCCCGAATGACTGTTTTACTGCGTATTTGGTTGCAAATTGCTATATGTTATCATGTTTTGGGCTAAATGCCATATTTGGACTTCGTGCCAGCTGTTTGGATCCTTAGGGGATTTTTACTGCAATTTCCTCACCATTTTGACTTTATACTTGTACTCAGTCATGCTATATTTTACTGTTTTCATAACTCAGCCAAGTTTACTCTGTTTTAAACACCTTAAATGATATTTTTGAGCTGAGCATAATGTTTTACTGTTGCCCGAGTGGCTTATGAGATTCTGACTGAGTAAGGCCGAGGGCCTGTGTTGTGAGGATACTTCTGGGTCGGGCTGCACGTTGCAGCGATGATATACTGATCATGATTATGAGGCCGAGGGCTTGAGATTTGTACGCCACGAGGTGGCTTGTTGATATTGTCAAGAACAAAGAAAGCATGAGAGAAATTGAAGAATGACTATCTCCATTACTTGATTCAAATACATCAGATACATTGGTATTTATACACAAGAGAAAATATCCTACACTAAATGTAAATCCTACAAAATATTCTTCATATATTCTACAACTAATGCTACACAATATTCTACACTAAATGTAGAATATCCCTAATAATATCCCATATATTCACCATATAGAGAATATATTAATGTAGATATTCTACAATCTGTCCATTATGCTAACATCCCCCCTCAAATTGATGCTGGTGGATCGAAAAGCATCAATTTGCCTACTAGAAACTGATGACGCTGTCGTGCCATTGATTTTGTAAACACATCAGCTATTTGAAGATCACTGGATACATGTGGAAGAGTAATAACTCTTCTATCTACAGCTTCTCTTATAGAATAACAATCCACTTCAATATGCTTGGTTCTTTCGTGATAAACTGGATCGGTTGCAATCTGAATGGCACTTGTGTTATTAGCATGGAGNAGGAGTAGGATTAGAATTGAAGAAATCCAAATTCTGCAGTAAACCACGAAGCCAAATAATTCGGAGCAGAAGCGACATTTGCTCGATATTCAGACTCCGTTTGAAGATTTTGAAACACGATCTTGCTTCTTGCTCTTCCAAGATATCAAAGAATCTCCGAGAAACATGCACCATCCCGTGACAGAGCGGCGAGTATCAGGACATCCAGCCCAATCAGAATCACTAAATGCAGTAAGCTGAATAGGAGAACCACTAGGAAAGAATAATCCACGAGTTGATGTTCCTGAGAGATATCGAATGATGCGACGAACTGCCACCAAATGTAGATGACGAGGAGTCTGCGTATATTGACTGACTTGTTGAACTGCAAAAGAGATATCAGGCCGAGTAATAGTAAGATAATTTAGGCTCCCAACTAATTGTTGAAACAAAGTTGGATCAGGAAGAAGATCCCCTTCATCGCGATGATACTTTACATTCAATTCCAATGGAGTATCAACAGAGGAAGATTCTTGAAGACCAGCCAAAGCAATCAATTCCTGAGTATATTTGTGCTGGTTTAAGAACACACCTTAAGAATTATAATGAACTTCCAACCCCAAGAAATATGTTAGAGTACCAAGATCTTTCATGGGAAAAGAATCCTTAAGCTGCTGTTGGAGGCTAGTGATTAATAAAGAATCAGTTCCTGTTATAATGATGTCATCCACATATACTAGAAGAAGAACACAACCTATAGATATTTTTCGAAGAAACAAAGATGCCAGGGGTAGATGCCTTAGATTAAGAAAGGGTTGGTAGGCCCTTAGTCCATTCCCGATGATCCTCTCCTGGTCAATTAATACTAGATATGACCTCAAAATAAGAGGGGGGCAAGGTCGGCCAAAATGAGATTAGGAGGGCGCCCTTTTTAAAGAGCCAGCCTGTCTTTCAATAGAAACTATTGGCAATTACCTTAGTCATTCTCTTATATAGTGTAGTCCCCATAGCAATGGGCCTCGGTCTAGTGAGGTTTTGCTTTTTTGATGTCGACCTCCTTATAAACATTGAATGATCCGATTTACTTATTTGAAAACCGGCTCCTTCCTCTACTCCTATTTCGGCTCTTATACATGCTGCTGTCACCTTTCAAACCAAGCTCTTGGTGCCTCATACGTGATGTCGAATTCAGACAGAAGCAGTAACCATCTTGCGGTCCTTCCCGATGATCCTCGATACAGAAGAAAGAGTTCGGGCATTATTAAATATGGGACTGTAGAAACGCATTCAGTCATCAAAAAAGAGGATTTGCTTGAATATCGAGGAGTTTGTGCTACTAAGATTTAGACTTCAATTTGTCTAATCAATTCCTCAGTTTTCGGAGAGTCATATTTACCTTGTTCAAAAGAGAAGTGAATCAAAGTAGATCGAAACTTGTCAAACCAAGCTCTAGGAGCTTGTTTTAATCCATACAAAGACCGCTTCAACTTGCAAACATCTGATGTAGGTGATGAAAACAAACCAGGTGGGGGTTTCATATAAATATCTTCTTTCAGATCACCATGGAGAAAAGCATTTTTACATCCATTTGATGAAGAGGCCAATTCTGTGAGGCAACAATAATAGTTCGCACCGTAGTCATTTTTGCTACTGGTGCAAAAGTCTCCTCATAATCCACACCATACTCCTGTTTGTTACTAAGAACAACCAAGCGAGCTTTGTTCCGATCTAGAGTTCCATCAGAATGAAGTTTAATTGAATAAACCCATTTACATCCAATTGGGCGTACATTTGAAGGACATGAAACAATGTCCCATGTGTTATTTTCTTTAAGAGCCAAAAGTTCTTCCTCCATTGCTTTCTGCCAACATTCATGCTTGCAAGCTTGTGAGTAACAAGTTGGAACAGAAATAGTGGATAAAGTAGAGGAAAAACCATACCAATTAGGAGTATTTCGTTCTCTGGTAGATCGCCGAGTAGGCTCAAGAGGAGCAGGCCTTGAAGATATCTCATATTCTGGTTGTGGAGCAGTCTCAGGTGGCGGATCAGTTTCGCAATGGAGTAAAGTTGGGCGACGTCGTTCATACACATATCCGGGTTTGAACCGCTTAGAAGAAGATGACAAATCCTCAAAAGTAGGAAGAAGAGGAGAAACAGAAGTTGACTCAACATGAGTGGGAAAGAAATATTGATTCTCAAAGAAAACATTTCTAGAAATACGAAATTTGTCGGAACTTGGATCATAGCAAATAAACCCTTTATGCGAAGTACTATAACCCATAAAAGCACATTTAGCAGACTGAGCAGAAAGTTTATTGCGTTGAAAAGGAGGCAGATGCACAAAACAAACCCAACCAAATGTATGAAAATTATGATAGCTAGGATTATGGTGATAAAGACGATAATATGGAGACTCAAGATTTAACACTTTAGATGGCAGTCTATTAATTAAATAGACAGCAGTAGACAAAGCTTCCACCCAGTATTTAGATGGGACAGAGGACTCAATCAATAAAGTACGAGTTACATCTAAAAGATGACGATTTTACGCTCAGCAACCCCATTTTGTTGTGGTGTATATGGACAAGAGCGTTGTGAGACGATTCCTTTCTCAAGCAAGAAATTATTGAATTCATGAGACATATATTCTCCACCAGAATCAGATCTTAATATTTTGATGCATGTAGAAAATTGAGTCTCAATGTAAGTCAAAAATGTCTTGAATATGGAAAATACCTCAGATTTGGAACGAAGAAAATACACACATGTAAGCCGACTATAATCATCTATGAATGTCACAAAGTACTTGAAATGAGCATGAGAAATAATTGGTGAAATGCCCCAAACATCACTGTGAATGACATCAAAACACTTTTTAGCACGACTACCAAAATTAGGAAAAGGAAGAGTTTTACTTTTGCCTAATTTACAAGTAGAACAATCAAATGAAGCAGCTAAAAGCTGATTTTTATTTCCCAATAAACCAGAATTTGATAAATGAGACAACACTATAGAATTTGGATGTCCAAGACGCTTATGCCAAACCTCCGTTTTACTAGCTGTAGAAGTACAAGCAAAAGACAGAACACGAGGAATGGAAAAACGTATAGGAAACAATCTTCCAACTTTAGGCCCCTTCGCGATTATCGTCCCCGACACCTGATCCTGCACAAGGCAACCATTACGAGAAAAATTCACATCACAATTATTATCTACCAATTGGCCAACTGAAATAAGACTAGTTTAGAGTTTTGGTGATACAAAAACATTCTTGAAAGTTTGAGTAATATCCCCAACCTTGGTAATGGGTAAATTACTACCATTCGCAATCTGAATTTGTGATGGACCATGATAGTCACGTACATTTTTTAGCATGCTAGTTGAGTTTGTCATATGATTGGAAGCGCCAGAATCAACAAGCCAAAAATTAGATGTAATATCGTTACCTTGTAGCCTCAAAGCTGAAAAGGCTGACACAATCATTTGTTGTACCATTTCAGGAGTAAGAACTTGTCCAACTGTTGGAATAGCAAACTGGTTGCTAGTTCCAGTTGAAGATGAGTGATCATCAGTCGAACCATTTATCCCAGCTTGAAAAGCATTGATCTTATGGTTTTGAGGACGTGTGGGACACTCTTTGATAATATGCCCGTGCTGCTTACAATAATTGCAGAACTTCTTACTACAATTGCTAGCAATATGACAATATTCTTTGCACTGTAGCATTGCGTGGTGCTCATATCCCTGCCCTTTCTTTTTCCTTGAGCAGCAAATGCAACAGTATGAACACTTTCTTGCTTGAAAGCATTTTGTGTGAAAAGACGCTGCTCTTCACGAAGTAATTCCCTAAAACAAACATCCAAGGAGGGAGGCGGGTCACGATTCATTAAGTTAGAGCGAACACTCTCAAAATCAGATCGCAATTTCATCAAAAATTGGTCTCGCTTGCTTTGCTCATGAACTGCTTGAATTATAGATAGAGATTCAGCAGGTATTTTAGCATAGACAATATCAGTAAATTCAGCCCATAAGTTCTGAAATCCAGAAAAATAATCCTGAACAGAGAGACCTCCTTGAGAGTAATTAGCGATTTCGTGCTCTAGCTGAAATCGTCTTGCGCTATTGTCTTGGTTGTAAACCTTTTGTAAATAATCCCATATGGCCTTTGCAGTCTTGTACGGCCTGAGATTAAGAACAATAAGAGGGTCAATTGACCCTAAAATCTATGTCATCACCCGAGCATCTTTGACCTTCCACTGACCTAACTTTATAAGATCAGTAGGAGCAGGATCATTTCCATCTATATGGCCCCATAATTCTTTTCCCGTGACAAAATAATTGAAATTGAAATTCCCAAGCAGAATAATTTTTTCCAGTGAAACGAACACTGAAGGACTCAAACTGATGTGAAGTCATGTTTTTGAATAGAGAAAATCAAAAAACACAATGATACGGAAAAAAATAGCTAGAATAACCAAGATCAAGATCAAGACCAAGATCAAAAGCCCTAGATGCTTAGGACTGCTTGTTGACGAAAAATCAAGAGAACCAAGAGAACTAAACTTTCAAAAAAAATATATTTTTTTTTGAAAGGAACCACAGATGAAAGACACTAAGAATCAAAACTATGAAAAGAAGGCTCTAATACCATGTCAGGAACAAAGAAAGCATGAGAGAAATTGAAGAATGACTATCTCAATTACTTGATTCAAATACATCAGATACATTGGTATTTATACACAAGAGAAAATATCCTACACTAAATGTAAATCCTACAAAATATTCTTCATATATTCTACAACTAATGCTACACAATATTCTACACTAAATGTAGAATATCCCTATAATATCTCATATATTCACCATATCGAGAATATATTAATGTTGATATTCTACAATCTGTCCATTATGCTAACATATATGAGGCCGAGAACCTAGTGATTATGCCACGAGATGGCTTGATATTGCGCTTGGGCCGTAAGGGGCCCCTCCCAGAGTCTGTACACCCCCAGTGAGCGCGGGTACCCATTGTGATATGAGATAGAGCCCGAGGGGCTGGTATTGTTCTATGTTATTGCCCGAGGGGCTGATTCGTTTGTTATTGTGCCCAAGGGGCGGTTTTTATGTGTTTACCTTTTCTAGCTGCTTTTCCTTTATTTGTTTAACTGCTTAAAAGATGCTTTATAAGATTACACTGTTTAATTGCATTTACTGATTTTATTCTGCCTCTTATAGCTTATTGTTGTGTTTAACGTGATTTTGTATTGCTTGGTCTTCATTTATGGTTATTACTCACTGAGTTGGAGTACTCACTTTACTCCTTGCACCCCTGTGTGCAGATTCGGGTGCTACAGGTCCTGCTTGCGAGGGTTGAGAGTTGTCCAGCAGATTTTGGAGATTCACTAGGTAGTTGCCCGGCGATTCGCAGCCCAGTGCACTCTCCCTCTATCTTATTTCCTTCTGTTTTTAGTTATGTAATAGTGGAGTAGACCTTTCAGACTTGTAGTGTTATTTTAGATGCTCATGACTGGTGACACCCCGATGTCGGGTTGTGTTTTATTTCGCAAACTGTATTGCTTACCTTAGATTGGGATTTTATTATGTTAAAGACTTAATATTTATTATTTTAATTGCTTAAAATGAATTGGAACTGTGTCGGCTGGCCATGTCTTCACGAGAGACGCCATCACGACCGGGTCCGGGTTTAGGGTCGTGGCATTTCCTTTCATCTCTTAGGCGATTTTTGGAGCTTTTGGAAGAGGATTTTCACCTAGAACTTTGAGGTAAGTAATTTCTACACAACATGAGTTTAATACATAGATTATGGCTAGATTAACATGTAAAAATTGGTAAAATCAAGGGTTCAGATGAAAAATCTAGGTTTTGGACAAAAATGAGATTTGACCATGTTTGGAATGGAGTAGAAATCATATATTCTTGATCCTTAGGTTATGGGTAACAGCTTTCTTCAAAAATTTCGGAATCCGGGCACACGTGGGCCCGGGGATGAATTTTAGGAACTTTGCATTTAGGGTTGGGAAATTAGTTTAATAATTAAAATATGAACTTTTGAGCATGTATTGACTAGTTCTTACCCCATTTGAATTGTTTTTTTGGATCGTTCAGCTCCGATTTGGAGGTTTGAGCGCGTTCTTGAATTTGGATATAGGCTTCGGAGCGAGGTGAGTCTCCTTTCTAACCTTGTAAGAGGGAATTGTTCCCATAGGTGAATTAATTGGATATGTGCTTCTATCTATGGGGGCTATGTACGCACGAGGTGACGAGAGTCCGTGCGTAGCTACTATTATGCTTAAGTCTGGATAGTCTAGGACCCAAAAGCATGTTTTACTTGCAATATTTGATATCTCGTTGTCAATTTAAAAAAGATTAAATAATATCGAATGTGTAAATGAATATCTAAAAGACTAGTCACCGTTTCCTTGATTTTTAAGAGAGAAATTTGCCTTTTTCTTGGATAATTGCTCCTTGATGAACTTGATTGACTGTTTGAATGTATTTATATATTGTGGAGTGGGCC